CTTTCATTGAACCAAAGATATGGAAGTCTGAGCGTTCTGAAAAGTTCGTGACGTAGAAGCCCTTACAGAAATCTCACATTTGGTTCTCCGTCATATTTAGATATATATATATATATATATATATAAATACATACATATATATATATTTATATATATATATATATATATATATATATATATATATATATATATATATATATATATATATATATATATATATATATATATATATATATATATATATATATATATATATATATGTGTGTGTGTGTGTGTGTGTGTGTGCGTGTGTGTAGAAAGAAAAGAAATTAAGAAAGAAAGTGCATCTAAATGAATAGGAAACGCCAGCTCCTTGCGCGATTTCAATTGTGCGTATTCTTAGTCTCCTTCCATTGTTATTCGGATGAATCCAGACTCGTCGCTGCCTCGTCTCGTTCAATTAACGACTATTTATTTGCCCAGCTTTCGGCTGTGCAGATTCAGTCAGAGGACACTTGTGCCTGAAGAATAGACTTAAATGCCAAGTTCTCCTCGTTCAACTGGGACATATATACACTTACCTACTCATCGTCATGTCCCACATTCTGGGCATATTCTGTTGCATTATCTCTCACTTTCTCTCTCTCTCTCTCTCTCTCTCTCTCTCTCTCTCTATATATATATATATATATATATATATATATATATGAACATTTATTGACCCGGTTAATAAAAATTTGTTCACTCAAACATACAAAAAATCTTAACAAACCTACATACACATAAAATTATCTACGGTTTTAATACACGTGACACGTGTCTGACCAATGAGAACATAATAGTGTTTTTGTCTTTTTGTCTGTTTTCTCTCAATCTCTGACGAAGTTTTAAGAAAAGTTAAACATGTTAGATTGATGTACCTTTCTTATTTGTTCTCGTATATATATATATATATATATATATATATATATATATATATATATATATATATATATATATTTATATATATATATATATATATATATATATTTATTCTGTTTTATACGTTATTTTCTATAAAGAAATATTTAAGTAAATGCTCTGTTTATAATAAACAGTATTAACTACATTTATCGGCAATCCGAGAAATTTCATAGCACGACAGGCCAAATGAGGGTTCGATTCCTGTTGGTTGTCACATATTTTCTCTCAGACATTCAGGCCGGTAAGTATCATTAATACTGTTTATTATAAACAAAAATTTACTCAAATATTTGTGTCTATAGAAATAACGTATAAACACAAAAATATATTAAAATAATTGTCGGACTAGTTCATTTTATATATATATATATATATATATATATATATATATATATATATATATATATATATATATAATTATTATATAAATTATTATTCGAAAATTATAACAGAAATATATTATAAAATCACTACAAAAAAGCCATTTTGTTTCAGCACTTCTGGTGTCTAATCAAGTGATGCTTTTGAATGTAGAATAAAGGGTTTTAAAAGATTCAAATCAATCAACCCCCCCTCGCTAGGAGAAACGTTGTTACAGAAGTTGGAATGACCAATCAAAATACAAGTATATGAGAATTAAAAAAAAACTTGACAACGAACATAGGTTATAATAATTATTTAATTCTTTAATGTTGGGGTTAGACTAAAATAGAATTCATTCTAATTAATCTTAAATTATACAATAACATTCAAAATTCAAAATTATCATTTTTAAATTTAAATTTAATCTATATTAAGTTTTAAAAAATATAAAATTATTATTTTTTAAATTTTCGAATAAATAATTATATTTGCTCTACTCTGTATTGAGCACTCTTTTAAGAATAGTATTTTTTATTATTGAAATTTATTCCATATACACTAATCCTATACTTGTATATATATATATATATATATATATATATATATATATATATATATATATATATATATATTAGGTAGGTCGATTTTGGAAATGTGAAAAAACAACTCTAGGAAAATTGCAAAATAACGTCAAAATTTACCACAAAAATATTTCTTTTCAAAACTTCGTATTTATTTGAGGAATCGAACTTAAAAGACAAAATAAATTGCGATTTTTATCATTAACGGTGTCACTGGAAACATGTGTAGGAAAAATTAAAACCGAATCTTAACGGAAAGAAAAGAAGAAAATACACTTAATAATGGATATTTTAAAGTTTAGTATCTATTCTCTCAATAAATTAAATGAAATTATAAAAAATAAAAAAATAAAACCCACTAAAATATTTAGTTTAAAATACCAATAACTACTTATGAACGCCGTCTTTTTTACTGGATATTACTTCGGTATTCACCGGTAGTAATTACCTCCTCTTGTAAGTTCGTTTTATTTTTGTTTACTGTTTACGCTTTTAACTAGCACTAATATCTATTGTATTTTTCATCAAAATATACTTAACTATTTAAAAAAATACAACTTTTATAATTATTGTAATTTGTTTATATTTTCAAAGTTGGTGTGTTTTATTAAAAAGGCTGTTTACGAGCTAATCTCGGTACTAACACTACTTTTATGTAAGTAAACACTACTTTTTTAATCTAATAATGTATTTCGAACTTTATTTTCAAATTCATTTTGAAAAATATCTTTGTGTAATTTCTGATAATGCATACATTTTCTCTTTCAGATATTGTAATAAAAATGGCAGGAAAAAGCATCCCAAAGGACCTTATAGTCAAATTCCTATCAAATTCTTATCAAATTCCACGGTATGTTGTTGAGTTGATCAGAGGTGATGCATCTTCCAATCTTGGAGCCAGCCTTGCCAATGCCTTTCTCTTGGATTTAAGGGCTATGAGCCTTCTTATCCCCAATATTAATATAATAGATATCTATATAGATAAATGTAAAATTGATATAGCAAAGGCTAAAGTGATAACAAATGCCCATCAACAGCATGATGAAAAGGTGGAAAATCTTTGTATTGGAGTTGATGGGAGAACTGACAAAGACACACTAATGAACAAGAAAATAGTGGAGGAAAAATGGAGAGAAAATTCTAAAAAAAAACAAGGGACCAGAACACCACTTGACTGTCACTAAGATGATTATCTGATACATAGGAAACATAGGGTTCTTCCTAATATTGGTGCACTATCAAGGCTATCCTTGTTAACAACACTAAATGCGAAAAATCAACCTAATATATATATATATATATATTTAATTAATTCATCGAGTCTGATAGAAACCTCAACAGAATGCAGAAAGAACTGAACGGCCGTTTTGTCCTATATTTGGGACTCATCAACAGTGCGCACCCACTACCGAGAATTGAAACCCTGACAGTTAGGTTGTCAAGCGAACACCATACCAACTGTTCCAAGTGGGCCTCGGTGACGAAGAGATTCCAAACCAGACTCAACTTAGCGCCGCTCGCTCACATATTCCGTGGCGGAACTCAACTGAGTTCTCTGTGACCATAGGACTGTGCCCCCTGGAGCTGGACCTGTGACTGGGCTGGTCTATTGAGGACCACCGCAGCCCACCCCACATGGGGAAGCCCCTAGAAAAGATGGGGCAAACATCGGACACGGCGACACATCTGGCCAGTTTACCGCGGCTGGCGGACATCCCTCTACTGCGGCCCCAACAATGCAAAAAGTTTAAAACAATAAAAATATCCTTACCCTTGGTGCTTGGAACATCCGCACCCTCCAAGACGTGGCGAACACTACCCGCACGAAAAGATGCACAGCCCTCGTCTGCAAGGAACTTGCCCGATTCAACATAGCTGTGGCGGCCCTCAGCGAGAGTAGGGCAACATCAGGGAAGCTGGAACAGGTTATACCATCTTCTGGAAGGGGAAGGCTCCCGAGGAGCCGCGCATACATGGCGTTGGCTTTGCGATCCGGTCCCAGTTCGTGCAGCAACACAATCTCGCTCCCACGGCCATCAGTGAGCGCTTAATGACTGCCCGCATTACCATCATGCGGAGCAGACACATCACCCTGATTGCAGTATACGCCTCAGCTCTAACCTCACCCGATGAAGACAAAGCCGCATTTTATACCCAGCTCGACCATACCATCCAGAGAGCGACCGCCAACGACAAGCTCATTGTACTGGGTGACTTTAATGTCCGAGTAGGCAGGGACCATCGCCTGTGGGAGGGAATAATTGGCCACCACGGTATCGGGAACTGTAACGCCAACGGTCAACTTCTACTGGGTCTCTGTGCGGAACATGAACTTGTGACCAACACTATTTTCAGACTCCCAAACCGACAGAAGACAACATGGGGGCACCCCCGGTCCAAACACTGGCCAGATCCAGAGACAGGGGAGACGTCCGTATCACCCGATCCATGCCAGGAGCGGACGACTGCTGGACGGATCATAGACTCCTGATCTCCAGACTATCCACGAGAATCCTTCGACCACCTAGAAGGACACCGGACAGTGTACCACACCGACGCTTTGACTGTAGCAATCTCCGCGTCCCACAGCTGCCACAGAATTTTAGAGAAACCTGCGAACGCCACCTTGCAGACCCAGTGGATGAGGCCTCTGCGGAGCACCACTGGACCACCCTCAGAGACGCCATAACCCGTGCAGCGGAGGAAACCATCGACTACTCAAACAAGAAAAGACGGGACTGGTTCGATGAGAGTTACGGGTCCATCTCGCCTCTCATTGAAGCTAAACGTCAGACACGTCTGACTATGGAGAACCAGCCTACAGCTACCAATAAACGTGCTCATAAACAAGCCGTAGCTAACTGCCAAAGAGGCACACAAGAAGCCCAGAACACCTGGTGGCAAAGAAAAGCAGCAGAAATTCCAAAGCTACGCTGAACAACGAGACCTGCGCAGCTTTTATGCGGCAACCAAGGAAATTTTTGGTCCCACACGCTCATCAGTGGACGGACTAAAGACGTGAACGCGGCTACAACCATCACCGACAGGTATTCTGGTGGAGGTCTCACTTCGAGAACAAGGCACCAGGTCAACACGCCAGACGATCTCCTGCGAATGACCCCGCAGCATCCTGTCCGTCACTGGATGGCACTACCACCCCCCATCCAGGACTTCAACAAAGCCCTTAAACGCATGAGACCCGGCAAAGCCCCAGGACCCGACAACATCCCACTGGAGCTCCTCGCCCACTTTGGCTACGAGATGAGGAACCGTCTCATGCTCCTTATATTGAAGATTTCGGAGACAAAGACCCTCCCCAGCGACTTCCGCGATGCAACAGTCGTGACAATATTCAAAAACGGAGACCGTGAGAACTGCAACAACTACCGGGGAATATCACTGCTAAGCATCGCCAGCAAGATCTTCGCACGCATTCTCCTAGACCGTCTCCTCGTCCTCGCCGAAGATGTCCTGCCAGAGTCCCAGTGTGGTTTTCGACCTTCCCGCGGAACCATCGACATGATCTTCTGCGCACGGCAAATACAAGAGAAGAGCCTCGAACAGCAACAGCCCGCAATGTTCATCTTTTGGGACCTAAAAAAGGCGTTCGATAAAGTACCCCGACCTGCTATGTGGGCAGTCCTTACAGGTTTGGCTGCCCACCCGACTCAGTCGCCCTGGTGCGCGCCCTGCATGACGGAATAGTGGGGAGAGTATGCCACCAGTACTCCCTCTCGGACCCATTCCCCATTACTGGTGGCCTGAAGCAGGGGTGTGTTCTGGCACCAACGTGTTTCTCTCTCTACACAGCAGAAATGCTAAATGAGATCCCACCAGACACACCCTCAATTGACCTCCGTTACCGCTTGGATGGAGGAGTTTTCAACCTCGCTCGACTTCGTGCCAGATCCAAGACCACCATGTGTTGGGTACGGGAGCTGCAGTACGCTGACGACAATGCCCACCCCAGGTCAGACTGCAGAGCACCCTCCAGTCACTAGCGGACGCATACAACACGGCCTATGAACGATTTGGGATTTAGGTCAACACAGAAAAGACCAAATTATTAGTTCAACCACCACCCGGACTGTCGCTCCCAAACACTAACACCACTGTCAATGGCCAACCGCTGGAGCAAGTAGATCAGTTCCCGTATCTGGGGAGCATTCTGACATCAACACCCACATGCAGAAAGGAGAATAGAATCAGGGCAGCCCACTCCGCCTTTGGCCGACTCAACTGCCGCATATTTAAAAACCACGCACTGACGATGGCCACGAAAATTATGGTCTTCCGGGCAGTAGTCTTCTCCACCCTTTTATACGCTTGCGAAACATGGACCCTATATAAAGGTAAAAATGCTAGAACGCTTCCGGCAACTGAAACTAAGGCAAATCCTTAACATCTCTTGGGAGAGCTACACCACCAACACAGAAGAGCTGGACAGAGCCTCAATGAGCAGTATCGAGGCCACTATCATCTACCACCGCCTCCTCTGGGGAGAACACGTCCACAGGATGGATCCTTCCAGGCTCCCCAAGAAAATCCTATATGGCGAACTGGCCATTGGGACCAGACCACGAGGAGCACCCAAAATGCGCCACAAGGACCAACTAAAGCCCACCCTGACACTTACCAACATCAGCTCATCCTCGTGGGAAGAAACTGCCAGGGACCGAACGACATGGAGGAGATCAATACGCGATGGCATCGCGGACATCGAGGAAAGGAGGAGGGAGAATGAAGAGGCAAGGCGACGAAGGAGAAGAGAGCGTTGTGAACGACCCCCGTCCTCCCCCTACCCTCCCTTGTGAGCACTGTCCGCGACTATTCCACCACCGACTGGGCCTCGCAAGTCATGTCAAACATAAACATCAACCGTGAAGATAGGACTTAAAGATTGACAGAACCCGATACTCGGATACGACTGGGGAGCCGACGACGATATATATATATATATATATATATATATATATATATATATATGCTTTTTTAAGATCTGAGGTTTGCTTTTTCTTTACATTGATATCTACATCAAAGTCAGAAGATATTATTCACCTTTTTCGACAAATATATTTCTTTAAAGTTTCTTTCATGACATAGCTCTTAGCTATTTCCTTCTGGGCTGCAGTTTTAAAAAGTCAATCGACGAATATTTTCATCAACTAATCCCAGAACCTCATACAAATCTCCTCGGACAATTTTTAAGCATTCCCCAGCCTGAAATTGAATTACCGTGTGCCATATTCACAATGACTCTATCCACAGTTTCAAATGTAAAATTTTCCTATGGCAACTACCATCGAATTAGTCTATGTTTAATTTCATTTGTAAGTGTCATGTATTCACCTGTTTTATTATGGCATTTGATATGTGGATATGAAAATAGATGTTTTGAATAACGCCTGACCAATCCGGATGTTAACACAACACACTTCACAGATACTAACGGTAGCAGTAAAATTCAGTTACAATAGGATTTCTATATTTTTTCACATAATTTTTACATACTGAATATTTCATTGGCAAGTGCATATTTCCAAAGAGGTCTACATTGATGAACGAATTTATAGTATTTCCAATAATTTAATCTATCTTTCCCTCTTGCTCTTTGTTTCATACGATCGATGCGTGGGTGGTGTAATATGATTGCGGGTCGGAAGGATAAATCGAAAAGTCGAGTTCCACTCGGTGTCGTTACTTTTAATTACGCGCCAAAAACCCTTGGGAAAGGCATGAATCCATCTCCTCCGCCCAGTTATTGTTGAACTTGTATCTGGAAAAATCATTGTTATTCTCAAAAAGAATTAAGCCGTAAAAACAAATCAATCAATCAATTTCTATATACACTTTCATCTCCACCTGACCGTCCTTTTGTAGCCACTTCTGTTGACTTCATTGATTCAGCAAATCAAATTATTAATTTTCCTTTTTATTTTTCTTTAATTAAATTTTCCTTTTTTTCTTTAATTAAATTGATGTGAGAAGAAGAATGTTGCCAAAGGCTTCGATTTTGATTCGTTAAAATCTTTAAAAATCCTAGAGAGAGAAATCGGCGTTAAAGAATAAACAGATTTCCATTGCCTGATAGGGAAAGTCTTCGAGAAGAAACAAAAGAAAACGTATAAGAAAAAATTCGACATTATTCTTAACAGTTAATGCCATCAATTATTACAATGAGGTTTTTTACTAACGTCCACCCAATAAATGGCCCAAGAGTTACCCAGGAAGATGGTCAGTGAAAGAGATTGTTTTATGGGCAGTAAAAATAAGAGATAAGAAGTGCTGTTTATAAGGACACGTGTGAAAAGATAACGGTTAACCCTAGAATTAAAGAGGTAAAAAATGTATTCTCCCGAGAGCCCGTTCCCAAAAATGGCGGTTTTGTGGAAGAAGATGTCCGAGTTGAACTTACTTCTTATTAATGAAATACGAAAAGGAATGGGGATGATTCTTCTGTGGTATGGCATGTGTTAGACGTGAAGGTTAGAATTGGTGGAATTAAGGAATGTAGCACTTCAGAACATTTGAAATGGAAATATAGATAGATTAGTGAGAAGCTTGCAACGTTTCGTCTTTGGGGAAAGGGTTTGTAGAGTGGGAAACAATTCATCACTCACAATGCCGCGTAAATACTTTTGAACTCCATCAAGACTGGAAAGTGATGCCTAAGCAACTCCACCCCTGATATGACAGCAGTACTTCATTTTATGGTCTGATCTTGTCCTTGTAACGGTAAGGCCTAACAGTAGGTGTCAGATACTTACTAGAGCGGTACAATGAACCGACCATTTTCCCAGCATCTTTAACGATGGATCGTATATATGAGTTTCACGAGGTCTGAGGAGAACTTGAGTCGCAACAGTCACATTTATTCTCTTTCTTTTATGAACCAAATCCTTTTAGAATGTACGCGATCATGGCTCTCCACAATTTCCTGGGGTTTTTTTGGGGGGGATGCTTAAGTAATTTTTACACTTTACTACCTCTTCATTTCTGTTCTGCTATCCATTTATACAAACTCGTCAAGTAGGTTATTCGCTGTTTCCTGTCCTGTGAGTGTTAAATTTTCTAGGCCTTATTTCCACATTATACATCGCAGAAATTTCATCTGTCGCTTTTTGATTGCAAGTAAATGTTTCCTTGTAGTCTTTACTTTCTTTCAGTCTCTCCCCGCTGCCCTCATATTCTGTTTGTTTTCATCTTCGCATTCGTCGTCGATCGAACCACATCTTCTCGCGTATAAATCTCTTCTTTATTTGCTAGGAGATACTGACTAGCATATCGCTTGGCGTGAAGGAGATTAAATTAATATTAGATAGATTTCAGAAATCTCTTATATTTTTGCTCACGACATTTTCCTGTCTTAATGTCTTTTATTAATATGCAATCAACATTGGTTTTTTTTTCTTGGACATAATAAAATTTATCGATATAGAGATTACAACCCTAAATTTCTGAGAAAGGATTACACGCTTTTTCTTCTACATTTTTTTGATAAATACCAGGGAACCTTTTTGGAAGACAATATCGGAAAGTAGGTTTCAAAATAAGTAATTGTTTTTCGTCAAATCTCAGAAATATTATTAGCATATTCTGATATTGACAATTCTCCTCCTATAGATATAGCAATCTTTAAACTTTATATAAATATGTATAACTGTTTGTTCATATCTATCAGCTTAGTATCTTACCATCCCTTTCTGTCAATACTACCGATCTATCTCAGGGCTTTGGTATTGCTCTGTCACGAAGAACTTCATGTGTGTATATTTGTGCGGGTGTGTGTTTGTCTCTCTGTTCTCGCAGCCATTGCTTAAATGCCACCAAAACTATATCTCTTCAACGAATATTACATTATTATTCTTGCACACACACACACACACGCGCACACTCACACGCACACATACACACGTACACATATACATATGCCGATCTAGAGCAGCAAATATACACACCCCACACATCCATGAACAAATGAATGCCTGTGTACACATATTTGGATCAAACAGACACGTGATAAAATAATATCTGGATATGAATTTTTGCAATAAATATAATGTCAATTCATTGTCCAATGCTGAATATAGAAATAATATTTTTTCCGGGCATTTTTCAAGAGAAAAGATAGATAAAAATTCAGACGAAAAGAACGAATAATTCATTATACATTGATCGAAACTCGAATGGACACAACTATGAACAGTAATTAATACAAAAACAGAATGTCTAATTATTACCTGAACGACGCTGAAAATAAGTGAATTCTCCTCAGCCGTCAGTGATTTTCATTATCAAGAAAATAGACTCACCTAAAAATGGAAAAAAAAACAAGTGTTAAAAATAGAAAGACGTAAGGAGACAGATGTGAAATATATGTCTAAAGACAAATGTAAAACATGTTTAATTTGATTTCGTCGTCTGGGAGTGTCTTTAGAACCTTTCCGACACGAAATGTGCGCAATTCTTAATATGGTCCTGTTGCATTGGTGTGTATACATGAAAAAAGAAGAATTCGGATATTTTTGTATCTGAGAATGTCACTTCCTGCTTGTCAAAGCTGAAATAAATATCAATGCATTGATTAAATGAAATATTATTATCTATAGTCATATTCTTTTCTTACAAACATCAATATATGTAACTGGAGATCAGGTAACAGCAAGTCTCTCCGTTACTCCAGCATTATTATTATTATTATTATTATTATTAATATTGTGTGAGGGAGCAGTACATTAACAAAATGATGCTGAGGTACAATATACCCATATAATATGATGTCTTACGCACGTACATGAATCATAGCCAGATGTAAGCAATATGATGGCAGGTTTATTATTATTATTATTATTATTATTATTTCCTTTGATTTCTGTTGTATACACATTACTTACGGGTCTAAACCAGAGACCAAAGGTCAGAAATAGTTTCATGACATATTCCTCTGAACTGTTTTTGTAAAAAATACAATAAAATCACACACTTTTTACACAGATAAAGC